CCAGGGAAAGACACCAGTTTTCTAAGACCCAGTCTCATGCTCTCAGAATCACAGAATGTTAGGAGTTGGAAGGGACCTCAAAAGATCATCCAGTCCAACCCCCCTGCCAGAGCAGAATCACCTAGACCAGGTCACACAGGAACGCGTCCAGGCAGGTTTTGAATGTCTCCAGAGAAGGAGACTCCACAACCTCTCTGGGCAGCCTGGTCCAGTGCTATGTAACCCTCACAGTAAAAAAGTTTTTCCTCACATTCAGGTTGAACCTCCTATGTTCCAGCTTGCTCCCATTGCCCCTTGTCCTGTCATTGGCTGTCACTGAGAAGAGCCTGGCTCCTTCCTCCTGACACTCACCCTTTACAAATTTATAAACATGAATGAGGTTACCCCTCAGTTTCCTCTTCTCCAAGCTAAAGAGACCCAGCTCCCTCAGCTGCTCCTCATCAGGGAGATGCTCCACTCCCTCGACCACCTTTGTGGCCCTATGCTGGACTCTTTCAAGCAATTCCTTGTCCTTCTTGAACTGAGGGGCCCAGAACTGAACACAATATTCCAAATGCGGTCTCACCAGGGCAGAGTAGAGGGGAAGGAGAACCTCTCTCGACCTACTCACCACACCCCTTCTGATACACCCCAGGATGCCATTGGCCTTCTTGGCCGCAAGGGCACATTGCTGGCTCATGGTCATCCTGCTGTCCACCAACACCCCCAGGTCCTTTTCTGCTTGGCAGCTTTCCAGCCACTCGTCCCCAAGCCTGTAGTGCTGCATGGGGTTATTGCGCTCAAAGTGCAGGACCCGGCACTTGGCCTTGTTGAAGCTCATACAGTTGGCCTCAGCCCACTGATTCAGACTATCCAGGTCCCTCTGCAGAGCCTTCCTACCCTCAGGCAGATCAACACTGACTATTGAGATTCAGTAAAACACACTCCTACAAAAATCCACCTTTCCTCATGAGTGATACTGCTAAACACTTTACAGATGAAAGCCCCATAACTACCATGATTATCTACCTACTTGATTATAACAAAATGAAATACTGATAAAGGGTTTCAAAAAGACAACTAAAAAGATAGTGGTGACTTACTTGCTCCTGTCTGAGTATTCTGTTTTCTAAAATATTCTGATTAGACTGTGATACAAAGGGCCTTTCTCCTGTGTAAAGACCCTCATCCTCCAGATACCTAGACTGCATGTTTTCAGGCATCTTTTCAGAAGTGGGCACTAATGAGAGATTAAACAGAAAAGCATGTAAAATATCTGGTAACCGTAGTTCTAGTTTATTAATTGTCCAAGAGCCTATGCCATTCTTAAAATGAATGGCACTGCATATTAAGCATGCTGTCATAAATATTTTCCTAACTAGGAAAAAGCAATAAATATGTAACCAAAACGGGTCCTTTTCTTCATCAGGACTGATCCACTGTTTAAATCCATCATAAAAGTGTCACAAGTCTTCTAAACAGATAAATAAAAATTTCCTCAACAAAAAACACTACAAATAACTTAGTGGAGTTTAGTTTTAATGGTTGCTTGCACAATAGTGTAAAAACCCTTTAACAGCAGTAACTGACTAGACAAACATTTCTGAGCCTTTCCCATATAAAGTGAAACTTCGACTAAAATGATTGAGCTGAACTGACGTTACTAGTTTGCTTCAGCTACTCCTGAAAAAATACAGAACATGGATAAAAAGTCATGTTTGCCCAATAACAGCAGGTGGAACTCTCTAAGACCTGCCCGCAGGATTATTTCACTGGTGTGCATGGGGTCAGTCTTTTTCAAGGAGCAATCTCAAAATAGGAAGAAATAATACTGAGGGTTATGATAAAAGTTGTCCCCTAAATCAAAACACACTGGACTACACTGGAGACAGTCAGAACTAAGTTTTGAGACATGAAAAATCAGAGGCACCAAAAGTCAAATATTTCGACATCACATTGAAAGCTGTGCTGATACCATTCTGGTACAGAACACATTGAGACTCATTTCTGTGTCTTCTACTTCAAATATTAAATAGCAAGTGATATTATAAAGCAATTTCTTAAGACTTTGCTCTTCTATGGGAATAAGGCAAAAAGGTCAGAGACATGATCAATGTTGACTAAATATTTCCAATTCACAAAAACAGATTTTGGGAAAAAAGCCCCTTGAATCACAAAAATCCTTATGTTACTTACATGATTCTTTACAAACTTGCCACATGGAAAAAATTGCAGATACAGACAAGTGAAGAAATAACGTAAGTTATAATGTACAGTACACGAGACACATTTAGTACCTAAATGTGTGTACCCAGTAACCTGTTGCGTATGTTAAATAATGTAACAGCTACAGGCCAGTGAAACAGGAGTCAGCCATCTTAGACAGCACTAAGGTACCCCAGCATCTGACGTGCTCTGAGTTCACTTGCTAGCTTATCAGCTGGTGACCTGCTGAGGTGTGCATGTTCCTACTTAATGCATTTTGTTAGACCTTTTCAGACTTGTCTGGAGGATCAGTGTCAGAGAACTGCAACTAAATCTCTTTCTACTGCCAGAGACAGTCTGGTACAAGATTTTTCAGCAGATCAAAGGGTGCCATGCTATACAAAATCCAGGAACAAAGTGGATAATAAGCACAAACTTCATACCTGTTAGCCTGCTGGGAATGAAGAGAAATTCTTTTTCCTTTTTCACTTGCTCAGAGTAGCTTTCACAATCAGCAGGTCTCATTACTAGAAGATCTTTGGCTGTCTGGTCTATCATGAATAAATCATCATCTTTAACTAGGCGAACATCTTCATCCTAGAGTTTCAGATGCAAACATCTCTGTTAGTTCATCTGTTTCTTAAAATGAAGAACTTTAGAAAGTATACTTTCAGAATTTTTAAGGAAACAAAAGTTGCCATTTTATATTAGTCAATTAATATTAATTCAAGGAGTCTGAAAAAAAAAAGAACATTTATTCTATAGCTCACACCGTTTCATCCTCCTCTTGTTCATCCTCATGGGTTTCTACACATTCTTCTTCTGCCTCCTCTTCTTCATTTAATCCATTCCTTTTCCTGGTTCCAGCCTTCATACGCTCTGGTTCAGGATCAAAATTGAAGGTAAAGAAATTATATGCTTCGTCAGCAGAAGGAAAACCATTCTGGACCTATGAAAAGATGACAAAGATACTTTAATAAGACATTTATAAGACATTTAGGGCAACTGAAGATATATTTCCATCAATGATAGCAATAACAGCATGTATAGACACTTGTCACAAGATAATAATTGTTTTATCTGAAAGAGAACTCAACCAAATGCTGAAGCTGACCGAAATTTTTAAACGATACACAAAACTTTCTCTACTGTTACACTATTATTTCCTTAAGAATTTCTTGTAATGTTTTATTAAAAAAGTTACGTGACACAATTTTAACCAGCTTATTGTTTTAAATATAAGCAATTTGCAAATGAGAAATGCCAAAGTTTAAATTCTGATCATAAGGTAGACATCCAGGTGAATGATGTGAAAAGAAATTTCTAATGGCATTTTGACTCTGAAGGCCCCAAGCCCCCATCACTCTTAGGATGAATCCTTTAATAAAAGAATTACCAGTAGCATTTTATGGCTAATAAAGAGAGAAATGGGGTAGCAATGCAAAATCTTCCTGTGTACAGATGAGAGGCTGACAGACAGCACAACCTGGGCAGCAGTGGCAAACTTGCTGCTGACAGACACTGCTGACCAGGGAAGGGAATCAAGGAGCTAAGGCCAGCTTCTCAACCAGCCCCTGCTGCAATCTGCAAAAACATAAATGCTATTACTCAAAAAAGCTGATATCCATTGCTAGGTTGCTTAAATACTAACTTGATTGTTTGTTTTGTTTCTCAAAGGCTGCAAGGCTACTCTAAAACTCCATGGATAATAATCCTCTACCTTTTCAAGAAAGGAGGTAGCATGGTGATCCATTTCCAGTTTTCTGAAACCTTATCTATCCCTGTAAGCATCACTGGTTCTGAGGTTGCTGCAGCAAGTTCACTTAAGTGCTTCTAAGAGATTTTCATCAGGCCCAGCCAACATAAACACAACTAACATGTCTTCTTCCTCCTTGTGGCCTTAATTTTTAGATTCAAGGAAGAAATTTCTCAAGTTTATACCTATTTAATCTAAACTTCAAAATAATAATAGCAAAAATAAAATGGCCAACTTGTTTCACAACAAAACAATACTTCCTAAGTGTGTAGATAAGTACAGAAGCCAAAACCAACACATGGAAGGTTTTAGATATACTTCATATAAAATTAGTAACCAACTTTGATAAAGATATCACTTCCACATTTTCCTAATAAAAACATATTAAAACAATAGTACTTAACAGAAAGTGATGACAATTACTTTTTGTAAAAAAAAACTGCCAAAAACCTCTCCACAACCTACATGAATAGGTAATTCTCCCCCAGACAAGCAATTAGCCAGGCTAATTCATATTTTTTGTAATTCCAGATAAAAATGTTACTGCTACATGCTGTTATTTCCTGGGCATACACAATCTTTGGAACACATTTTCTACAGACAAGCAATCTCTTTGTGAATTCTGAAGAATATCTGGGTGTAAGCTCTGCACTGGCATAGTCTTTGTTATTTTTTTAATACAAAAAATAAAAGAACACGCTTATACTAAAAGAATGAATATAAAATAGTAACAAGGCAATACAATACAGTACAATGACAAAGTTAATATTCAGCCTTTAGCAATTATAATGTGAAAATTTATATGAAGCTATCATACAGTGGTCCTCTGTTACAGTAACTGTTAAATACTTCAAGGCATCTTAAACAACAGTAGTCATGAACCTGTAAATGACAGGAGTTTCACATGATGTCTACACTATAATAAAAGTAAACGATTATTGTTAAATATGTACAATAAGAGCAATCATCAATAAAGTTCCTTTCTGATTGCTAATTCCAACAACAGTGTAATTTTGATTCAATTAAAATCAGTGAAATTGATCTCCAAGATTATGTTTGATCTTTAATTTATTTCATGTTGCACATTCATTTTCTCATTATCAGAATAACAAGATGCAAGGTCCCTTCTTACCTCTTTATCCAGTCTGACTCCTGTTTTCCTTTCTTTGATGCTTTTTAAATGCCTTGGTCGTGGACTGGGGTCTTCTTGCAATAAAGTAATTTCTGCTTTTGACTAAGCAAACACAAAGCCTCTCTTAGCTATAGTAAATATACTACGATCAAAGCTACAGTAATTCTCAGGAACTAACAACTTATGCATATTTGTGTTAGGGACAGAATCTTTTCACTACATAATCAGCTTAAGTGATTTTACAGACCTAGATGATAATACCCCTTTATTAAACTGCGCACTAAGCTTACAAGGAAATCCACTGATTTCAAAACAGTATAAGAAATTTTTTGACAAAAACACAGAAGAATCTTGTAAATATCGTATCATTTGAATTATAAAAAAAGTATAACTTTTATATTATTACAAATAAATTAAATATAAACTTTAGAAAAAATACAATAGAAATATACCGAAAAATAACTGTATCAATGAACTGAGCATTACTTCGGGATTAAAAATTTAAAAAGCAGGTATCTCAATTCAGATTCCCATAGCACTAAGCAAGTAAAATGAAGTGGGTGGTACTTATAAGACTAAAGTCAAACACATAGGACTTCTGAAGGATTCTCACCTTTGCTGCTTTTAGTTTCTCTCTCATTCGCTCCCTAACAGAAAATTCTGCAAAGCCTCTCCTTGATGTAGAAGGAACAGGTGGCAATTCTGAAACAGAGAAAGGATGGTAACGTATTTAAATTAAGTACTTTTCTGAAAGAAACTTAAAATTATGTAAAATATAACCATATATACTATACAGAGTCCCATGCTCTAATGGAAAGAACGTGCATGACAAAACATGAAGGAATGAAATTTTTTTTGGAATTCAGACCTTATAGACTATCACTTAAATGTCTTTAGCTGTGATGGATCTACCTTCCATTATACACTATGAAACAACCTTAAGTAATGCATATACACACTTTTTTCCTATTAAAAATACATAAAGAACTACGTGGCATTTTGTAAGCTACTACTCAGAGCTGTCTAGATCTAATTTTCAACATCACCTTAATGCCACTGTCAAATTATCTTTAAAAGGTCATTGTGATGATCAAGGTTGGTTCCTGAGGATTGGAAGTAAGCAAACATCACTACTGCCTTCAAGGAGGAGAATCTGGGGAACTACAGGCTGGCTGGCCTCATCTTGATGCCCAAGAAGGTGATGGAGCAAATAATCCTGGAAGCCATTGCCAAATATGTTAAGTACAAGATAAAAACTGAGAGTCATCAGCATCGATTTATAAAGGGGGAAAATTCTACCTGACCAATGAGACACCTTTCTGTGATGAGATAATTGGGTTAGTGGATGAAGGGAAAGTAGTGGACGCTGTTTATCACTGTTTCCTGTAGCATCCTTATAGAGAAACTGATAAAATGTGGACTGCATAAGCAGATGGACTGAAAACTGGCTGAACTGTTGGTCTCACAAGGTTGTGATCTGTCGTGCTAAGTCCAGCTGAAGCCCATCACTAATGCTGTACCCCCAGGATTGATTTCAAACAAAAAAATCCCGCTACCCACCCTGCAACCCCAAGAACTCATCAAAATTCTATGATCAAGTAGTCTCTGCTGATCCTGTGGAACACAAAAACCTCAAGTTTTAAATCAGTGGCATATATTTAGATGCAATTTTTGATAGATAGTAAATAGCAGATTAGGACACTGACTTGGGTAATCATGTGACTACAGAAAAGGAAAATTACTGCCTATTGCAGCCTTTGAATTGCTGCTCCCAAAAGGCCCAGCCTTTTCTTTCATAATTAAAAATGGATTGAGAAGGCATCTTTGATAACCCAACTTATAAGAGTCTCCTTTTCCTTTGAAGGACTGATGGCATTCCTCCCCTTTATCTTCCACATATCAGATCTTCTTAGATAATTATTTCTTCATGTAGATTCAGTAAGTATTAGCAGGGTTACCCTAGACCCTGCTGCATTCCCTGATCCATAAATAAAAGAATGAATAATTATCCAGCTGTTTACAGAGAAGCTACGCTCTCAGGGTAAGAAATACAAAGGAGTCGATACCTACAACCCATCCTCTCATATAAACACAAATGAAAAACATCACAAATGCTCAACACATGAGAGATTGTACATATAAGCAAATGGCAATGCTTCCAGCAGCTTTATGGATTAAACATAATTATGTTTATCTTCTGCACATTGTTTTGAGAAGGTACTCATCTCCCTCTCTTGGGCTGCGCTACCACTGTAAAAGAGTTAAGGTTATCCTCTTTATGAAAGTCTTCAGTATATTTGTAGCTGAAAAAATAATAGCTTTCTAATAGCTTAGAAAGTCATCAATTAATTATTTTTCTTTTTGAAAGACATAATTGATTTCTTCATTAATAAAACTGATTCTACCTACATAATTCTCTTCCCATCTGCACAGACCTCTTCAGTCTCACTGGAGCCCCAGAGTTCACCTGGAAATTCTTGGGAGCTTACTGAAACTTTAACTTTGACTGATACATGCAATATTAACTTTTTAAAGAAAAAAGCTTTACATCCCTTTTTAAACATGGGATCCTTAGGTCTTATTTCTTTTCTCCTGAACTTCTGTAACCAAGCTTTTATTTCCAGAAGGAGCTCCACCACTTCACTTAGGACATGCCGAACTGTAAGATGATTAGCAGGGAAAAAACCGTAGCTCTTTTCCACATGTGCTTCGTGGCTTTTTTTTTTTTTCTTTAATTTTTAATCTGTAAACACATGGCATTCTAGGTAAATCAGTTTTTCTAGTTATCTTCACTTATAGAATTATATTACTTGTCAGTTCTTCTAGCCAAACACCGATCTGCTCTTTGCCCTTATGAAAGAACATTGTTTGACAATGTCTAAGTAAAGGGTGATTCCAGGTTTATATAAGGCATTAAAATCATGAAAAGGAGACAAAACAGCAAAGGGTAAGGGCTTAGGAGCTGTAATGTCACACAACATATATCACATTATGTTTGATTCAATATTATTCCAAGAGCTTTACCTGTGGCAGAAAATACTGTATGTTGAATATAGGACTTCAACATTTAAAGGCTACCTACTATAACAAAGTGCAATCTAATTTCTAGGGTGACCTTAGTCCACTGTTATTTAGAAAAGAAAGATTAATAATCAATAATACTGATTCTACTTAGAAACACCAAAAGATTTGGGAGAATCCTAATGTTTTCAAGTTACACAATTTACTGCCTGTATTTGTAAAAAGAAGCATTCATTGTATTTGGAAACTTTTAAAAGAAAGAAAAAGGCACAAAGTGAGTACCACTCGCATGAGACACATAAGAGAAAACCAAGCATCACTGAGACACAACACACAGAAAAGCCTGCATTTTCTCTTTTCTAACAAGAAACACAGTATGAGTAAGAACAGGGTAAGAATTAAAGCCAAAACAGAGAACAAGATCTAAACAAATATTCATCAGACTGAGCTAATTAAAAACTATCATTGCAGGGTATCCAATAATGAACTGGCTGCAGCAGCATCAGAACTGTCAGTGATTCCAAGAAGTGATGGAGAACAGGCAAGTTCCAAAATCCTGGGCAAGTGTCTTTTTTTAGGAAATGGGAAAGGGCAGCTGCTGAAGCATACACAAGTCAGTCTTACTTCAACTCTACAAAAAAGACTCAGCCTATGTGTAAATACTTACAAGATAGTAAAATAATAAGCAACAGAATGCCTAGATTAGCTAAGATCAAGAACTATCAAGCCAATTCAATGTTCTTCAACAAATAGTCTACCCATTCTTGTGAATGATGGAAAAAGCATGCATCTCAACTTTTAAGTCTGCCTTATAGAAAGCATCTCTGAGTAAGAAATACTTTTAAGAAATGACACAGGGGAGAGGAAAAAGGGGTGCATGCAAGTCGCTGGAAAACCAGATTTTAAAAGATAAGCAAGTAATAAGTTAATAAATTCAAACCCCAAACTGAGTAGGTCAGGGTCTGCCTCAGTCTAATGCTTTTAAAGCATTTATTAATGGTCTGAACGATGGAATAATGTCTATCTGTGTATAAAAATGCAGGCAAGAGCTATCAGAAGTCGCATTTGCTCAAGACTGACTTTGAAGAGATGTTGGAATGGAGAAAAAAATTCAACTTCTTTTACAACTTCGAGCTCGCAGAAGGTTGTTGCACACAAAAAGGATCTCTGTGTCTGCTGGAGATGGAAATGACGGACTTTAACTGCAATAAGGAAGATGGCTGCACACTGGAAAAGCTTTTTAACTTGTGGGGTATTCTAGCATTGGAATTGAGTTCCATACATAGTTACAGAATCCTCACTGGTGCAAGCTTTTAAGTTAAAAACCAAACCAGACCAGACTAAAACAAAACGAACAACAAAACCCCCAAAACAACCCAACCAACGAAAAAAAAGGCCACCAAAATCAGGTATCAAGACTTAAATATTGAGTTGAAATGATTTAAGCGGAGAAGTTGGTCTAGAGTTGCCTTTTGATTTCCTTCCTGTGAATTTTTTCTACCACTGTATTCTGTTCAGTTAGCATGTAAAAACATACTCTGTTTCACTGGAGCAGATGCTTAATTTCAATTGCATTTCAATAAATGAAAGCTGGAAAGCAACAGATTAGAACCTGCTTTTGGTTTTCTGAAGTACTTGACAACTGCTTGTAAACATTTCCAGACAAACCAGATTAAAGTGAACAGCGTAAACGCGAAATTAGTGCAAAAACAACCTGCCACTACTTTAAGCACCTCTTAAAGCATCAGAACTGATGCTCTGTATGCAGAATTCTTTACGAAGGAATCAGTTTCCAGTGACAACAGGGGAATTATCCTTTCTATACATAATGAAAAACATTTTAAGGCTTTAATAGTTGCAGTAAAATTAATTCAATGCATCAATTATTGCAGGATCCTGTGGTTCCTTGAAAAAGGACCACAATAAAAAAATATTTTTGTTACCTTAATTCTCTGTACATATACTTCTGTTCTGCTTATGTGAATGGGCTCTACAGCCAACTAATTTGTGCTTAACTTTAAAATATGTTTCTGGAGTGAAAGAATAATACTGATATCCATGAGAGCATTACTTCGCAGGATCACCATTACATTACAAAATTTCACATCACATTTTACATTGGAAGTGTCATTATCCTACAATGGCTCCGTATGTTACTTCAGGCAGATCTAATAAGCTTGCTGTACAGTGAAACCGAAATTCAGCCAAACTGAGAACCTGAAAATGTCATCTAATAAAAGCTTCTCCCTTGATTTCTCCTGTACCCAGAGGAGCCCAAACCCACTAGGTCTCTGTGTGACTTCAAAGCTCTCTACACTGATGCAGACTTAGAACTGCTGCAAGTATCTCAACATCAATCCTGTATCTGAATGGGACACTGTGACCAAGCATCAGTTACGTGAAAGAAAATAGGGAATGGTAACTTCCAGCATAGGTCCTAGAAACATTTTTGTGTTTTTCATGGGTAGAATCCTTGCATAAATGCATAGGAAGACACTAGACAAAATGCAAGCAAATATACCAACAAATTTTTTAAAAAAACAACAATGAAGAAAAAGATTTTGTAACACTGTATTTGTCCTGGCTTCGCAAGCAAGTAACTCTCAGACATCGCCTTTT